AATGTGTATGTGTACCAGGGTCTCCCCTGGGACTGGGACCCTTGTCAGCTGAATGGTCTCCCAGCCACAGGGGTTCACCATGCCCAGTGGAAAACCCCCAAGGCATAGGGATTGTGGCAGCCATGATCCCCAGGGTCTGGGGCTTTCATGCACCCCCAATCCCTGGAGATCACCACTGGCAGATTGCCCCTGTGGTGATTTTATGGCCCTGAGGGTTTCTCTGCAACCCCAAGGTAGGGGGATCACTCTAGCAGTATACTCTTGGGGTAGGGAGATTAGCGCAGCAGTGATCCTCAAGCCATGGGGGTATGTGGGGCTTCCAGCCATGGAAGCTGGCTTCTTGCCAGTTCAGAGGGAGCCTGAGATTGGGTTTCACTTCCACTGGCAATAAGGTGTGATGGGATCTAATGCATGATCCCACAATTATGCCTCCTGCCATGCACATGTGGCATGGCAAGAGGCACAATTTTATGAATTGTGCATTAGATCCCATTAAACCTTTACCTGCCCGTGTAGAGGTGACCTTGGAGGCACTTGTAGTCAATGTCCCAAAGCACTAGGCAAAAGCAGCACCATCACCATAACATACCATAGATGTATGTATGTCATGGTGATGGTGCTGCTTTTGCCCAGTGACCTAGTGATTAGGACAATTCCAAGGATGTAGGAACCTGGGTTAAAATCCTTTTTCTGTCTTAAGAGATTTGAATCTATATCACCTGCCTCCTGAGGGTATACTCTAATCATCATGTTGTTGGGTATTCTAGAATTGGCTTGCTCTCAATCTGTCTTGTTGACACCATTCCCATTTGCATGGACCCTTATATATGGAGCGAGCCAGAGAGAGCATGATCTTGCAGCTCAGTGATTAGGGCATTCTCCTGAGAGGTAGAAGACTTTAGTTCATGTTCTGCTATGAATCAGACAGAGAATAGGTTTCAAGAGTGGTGTCTCACTTCTGAGGAGAGTGGAAAAATCACCAAGCTAAAGAGACACTCTCACATTTGCTTTCCATTGAACTCAGTGAACATATCATTATTCCATGGAAAATGAAATTGATGGTTTAGGGCATTTTCTAGTATTTAGCTCAAATTTCCTTGGTCAGAAAGAGGATTTTATCTGGGTCTGCCACATGCTACATCTTCCACATCTACATGTGCCCCTATGGCACCTTTGTTACTCAGCTGTCATTTAGTACTTCCTTTTTAAAGCACTAAATAATATCCCAGTTTCATAGTTTCATAGAAGTTAGGGGCTGGAAGGGACCTCATGAAATCATGAAGTCCAGTTGCCCTGCTCTCAGGCCAGAAAGACTGCTGGGGTCAGATGACTCCAACAAGGTATGTCTCCAGTCGTCTTTTGAAGATCAACAGGGTAGATGACTATACCACCTCTGAGGGGAGTCTGTTCCAGACTCTGGACACTCAAACCATAGAGAAGTTTTTCCTTATATCCAATCTGAAGCCATCTCCTAGCAATTTATGTCCATTATTCCTTGTCTTCCCATGGGGTGTCTTGGTGAACAAATGCTCTCCCACCCCCCTGATATTTGCCCTTTATATACTTATAGGCTGCCCCATGTCCCTCCTAAGTCTTCTCTTATCCAGGCAGAACAATCCAACATCCTTCAGCCTCTCCTCATATTTCTTGTTTTCTAGACCTCTAATCATTCATGTGGCCCTCCTTTGGACTCATTCAAGCTTCTCCACATCCTTCTTGAAGTGCAGTACTCCAGTTGTGGCCTCACCAATGCTGAGTAGAGTGGGAGGATGACATTCTTAGCCTTGCTTGAGATGCATCGGGTGATGCATGCCAGTATATTATGTATTCAGCCGGCTATAGCATCGCATTGGTAGCTCATGTTCATTCTGTGGTTGATCATGACCCCTAGGTCTCTGTCAGTTGTGGTGCTAGCTAGTATATCACTGCTGAGCCTGTAAGTAGGTTGTGGATTATTTCTCCCCACATGTGCACTTTATATTTTTCAGTGTTAAATATCTTCAGGTTTTGATCCACCCAGCTTACAAGCCTGTAACAGTCCGTACTGCACTGTGCATGCAGCACACGTTTATTTTTAGCTTCTACATTGCCACAGTGATTTGTGGCCCTCAGGAAGCACATAGCTATGGCAGTGTAGCTGTTGTGTCACAGCTTTTGCCCATGGACACTATGTCATGGTAGTATGTTGCTATGGTGATGTAGTGTCATGTGTAGATGCACCTGCTGAGTGACTGCCATAACCATCGTATAATAGGAGGTGGGCTCCATAAGAATCATACTGTTAGGCTGTTCTTACATATTACCTTTAAACCATTTAAATCTGTGGAATGTTAGGTGGTATTAAAGTTAGAGCAGTTTCAGAGCAGTTAACGCATAATGCCATCTCTATCTTGCACAAAAGTGAATTGGCAAACAGGGGAGTGGCCAGGAGCCAGGAGTTTATTCTTCCTCTGGAGTCCCAGGAATTAAGAACAGTGGGAGCGTGGAGCCCAGACAAGCATGCCTCTGCAGGAGTCATGCTCTTGACGTGCTAAGAGCTAGGCAGCCCTTTCCTATCTCAGCAGAGCTGGGGGATGGGGGGAAGATTGTCAGGGGTAGAGGGACTGGGATACTGGATGACTCCAGATTGGTCAGTTTGTCTTCAAGGAGCAGACTAACAAAACCCTAGCTTGAGCTAGGTAGAACAGTTCAAAGGCAATCTTCACTCAAAGTGGTACAATTTTCAGAACCTAAGGGGATACTTAGCACAGTTTAACACCTTTTAAGGTAAGGCCACTCTCATTTTACATGCCTTTAGGATGGTTTAAAGGTCATCTGTAACATAACCCTTAGCCAAGCATTCAAGACTAAAATGTTCTGTTTTGGGTTAAATAAAATGCTTCTATAGATACTTGAAGCCACATTCTCCACTGAAGAAAAGCAGAACAGATTTATTTAAGTCAATATTTGTACTGATTTTACTTCTCTGTAAAATTGGGCCCAGTTTTTTTTAACCCAACCCCCCATGTTCCCTTCGTCTGTCCAGGGGCCTGAGCATTCTGTCAGTAGTAGATGAATAGTTTGCACTGACTTCAGTGAGTGGGAAGCTCCACTATCGCTTTTCCAAGCAGTTTGGATCCTTCTCTTCCATAATCATTTCTGTTTGAGTTGTGTTGCTTTGCAGTTTTCCAATACTCCTTCTACAATTCAGTTGTGCTGTTCCCAACTCCCACTACTACTGAAGAGTTGGTGATTTATGAAATTCAAACTTCAAGAACTGCATTTTTCCCTGAAAGTTTCTAACTGAACATGTTTCATTTTATTACAAAATTCCCCAACACCCATTCACTCCACCTCTGGCTTCACTTTTGTAGTTCTTATCCAGACCATAATTGAGCCCAATGGTATTTAGAGCCTGAGCAAGTAACGGTAGGCAAACTGAATGCAGTAAATTAGAACAAAATACATTTATGATCAAAATTACCCTTAGGCCTAATGTACGCTATTTTCACCATGTCTCATGATATAGGGTGATAAAAAGCACATTGCTTAAATTCTGAAATTGCGTTGGCAAAATCCGTTTTCTTTGTGCCATAAAAAGAGTGCTAAATCATTGTCATGACCTTCATGTTCATGTCTGGCCTATAAAGCCTCTAGTGCGAAAACTATATATAATAGAAAAAATAATTGTGAGAGCTATCTAAATACTGATTCTAAAAGTAAGTGGTGAAGGAAATTAACAAGTCATTTTAATACTCCTAAAGCTCTTTTCTTTCTATCTAAAACTTTCTTAGGAATTAATAGCCCATGTTGAAAAGAATTATAATTTACTAACCTCATCCATAGCTTTGACATAATGTGCTGTGTACTAAGAAAGTCTCCAGAAAAATTGTTCTCCTTTTCTCTCCTGTAGCATAAAAGCGAAGTCAACATAACATGATTATTTCATAGTAGAGAAGCAAGTTAATTTTGATAATTAAATGCAGAAACATCTTTTTTTTTTTGTGGCTTTCACTCAATTTTATTGGCAGCATTTAAATTTTAACTAGGGAACAAGTGGGAAATAAGAGGTACATGGGACATACAATTTAACAAAGACCTCACTGTATAGAAGGGATACAGTATAGCATATGGAATCAGGCACTCCAGAATGTCTTTCTGCTTCTTTTACAATCCAGATACTATTGAATATAAATTGCATGCAATGTGGAAGAAGCAAGAGGTTTGCAGAATTCTTATCAGGATGAGGGGTTGGCCATGTTATGCCTGATCTGGTACATTTGGGGGCAAGACTTTCAAGGCTAAATTTACCTCATGTACCTCATGTCCTGGGATGGTCCCCTGGACCTTGGTTGGGCCTCCCAGTCTCACTTGAAGATATCTAGGGATTTAAAATGTAAATATCTTCTTAAGATTCCTAAAACTTATATATAGAGATGGAGTTCTCACTTATGCAGAGACCTTGCACAAAGCTTATATTCCACTAAAGTTCCTCTTGAGCTCTCTTTTAAAGGCATAAATGATACAGAAAGAGATGTACAGTGGCCTTCTGGACAAGATGAACTGCTGTGTTTGTTTTCTTGTGTACAGTATGACCTGGAATGTAATATGCACCTTATATTTGAAAAGCAGAATGAAAAAAAAAATCTTTTCCTTGTAGTAACTGAGTAACATCAACTGAGGAGCTGAGCCTGGTTATTGTTCTTCTCCCTGTGGATTGCTGCATATTTTACTTTTGGTTTCTGCTGATAAGCTCGTACTGTATTTTTCTTGTATATTGCATGCTCCAGTTTTCAGCAACTGGTTTTTGGGGAAAAGTAAGGTTTGTATATAGTATATCCTTAGATACACACATCTGGATCTCATTGACTTCTCCCACTTATTCTTCTATTTCAGCTTCATGTATTATGATCTCATTTCCTTCAGGTGAGAATAGAGCCAGCAAAGGCTGCAGTGTGCCATAGTATATTAACTCTTGACCCGCTGCTGCTGAAAGTTTGTGACTGGAAGAAAAAGTTTCTAAGTAAAAGTGGTCAGAAGTTTTCCATCAGAATGATTTTCCAATGGAAAATGGCTATGCGAAGGGTGGCAAAACTTTTCTCCTGATCAGCTCTCTGAGATGTCCCTGCAGCTCTCTGAGATGTCCCTACAGGCCCTGCATTGTTCTGGTTCTTCTGAAAACTTGGCCTCTGCCTAGGTGAAATACAGTTTTACCCCTTTTGAAGTCTAAGCCTAACCCAGCCCAATCCCCTGTTGTGACTTTGACACTTCTTTGCTAGGGATTTCACTCTTTCCCACATAACAAAAGAAGGTAGGGTGGGGTGGCACCTTAGAGACTAATCCATTCAGAGAAGCATAAAACATTTCCTTTCCAAAATAAAAGATTCCTCTGTAATTTTTTTCTCTGTGAAATAGAATTTTCTCTCTAAGGTGCCACCCTCCCCTGCTTCTCCCTGACTTCAGACTAGCATTACTAACCTCCTCCCTCTCATAATAAAAGTAACTCAAATAATGCAAGTCAAGCCCTAGTAGCTTAAGTGTGAGTCCATTCTAGCTTCGTATCTCATACTCTGCCCCTCATGATTGCTATTACAGGGACTGTCTTATCAAGCATCAGCCATCTCTCAACTCTTCTGACTCCTGGCAAACCCTTACAGAGCAAAAGAGAACCCTCAAACCCCTTGGTTTACTCTTTTCTTCCAGCCTCCTCCTTAACCTGTTAGGGTAACCTACTTCTGATAACTCCACCATAGTCAAAACTGCCCCTTGCCCAGTTGTAGTGAGGAAGGGCTATTTGAGCCCTTGTCTTCTATTATTTCCTTTCCTATGATCAAGTCCCATTTATTTGGCCTCCCCAGAGGACCTATACAGCATTGGGTCAGCCACTTCCACATAATGGAGCTGGCCACTCTGTAAGTTACCTCTTCTGTGAACAGAAATTTTCCATGGGAAAATGGAAAGAATGGCTTCTTTCCTGCCTCCTTTCTCATTTCTACTGACAGCAGAAATGACACCGGCAAGAACCACTCAGGCCACCAAGAACAAACTAAAATATTCTACTGCAGTTTTCTTGAACTGGAATTTTTCTGGGAACCCATTCCTGGGTAGACATCTGATTGTTTGTTTGTTCATCTTGAGCCAGGATGACTAGTTAAAATAATATGGGATTTTTCATAGGAAGAAATGTCCGTTTTCTAATCCACTCGACAGCTAAGTTCTTTTATTGGCTGGCCCACTCTTACTGAGAGACTTCAGACAAGCCACTTAGTCTCTCTGTGCCTAAATTTCCCCATTTGCAAAATATGCAAAATGCACCTCACTTTAGGGGCTTGTGAAACTAATTATGGGTATAAATGGCTTGTTTGAAAATCTCAAATTAAAAGTACTATGTGAACGAGACCTGCACCATCACTGTAATACCCCACATAATGATGTCATCTAGTCTTTGCTGACAGCTTAATTTTCTATGTACCATAACTAGTCAATAAAATATTAGTTTATTTCATTTTATTTTTACTTCACATTTACATAGTAATGGGTGTTGAAGTTTCCATCACTTCTCTAAATGATAAGTTTTGTAATAGGAGTAATCAATACACAAATATTATAGATGTGAGCATTAAACAGAAGAGCCATTTGGAAGTCGCACAGTGGTCTTGGTCAGCCCCAAAGGAGAAAAGGCTGGAAACATGATTAATTCAGGGGTCTATCAAGTATTCCTGCACTCATTTCCTTTAATATAATCAAATTATGATACTGCTAAGGACCGTTCTTGTCTTTGATTAATAATGTTAAATGCTGTGTATTTTGAGATACTTAAAAGTGGCTTCAGATGGTATTAAAAATGCTTTGGTTCAACCACATTTTGTTGGAATAAATACTGGATAATCATGTACATTGCCTATCATATACTGAGGTCAAAGCAAATAATCGTAGTAGTCCTTCTTGGCTTTAAAATCTATGTGTTATACTAACAGCAGTTAAATCAGGATTATGTGGAAAAAGGAGATTATATGGCAGTAAATTTAAGCTACATTTGGAAACAATTTCATGGCAGTTCTCTATTTCGATTTTTGTTGGGGGAGGTTACTTTGTACAACTTCCATTCAATTAGTAGAATTACTGGCCACGAGTTAGTTAAGTTTACTGTATCTATATGACCATAAACAATAAAACCAATTGCAATTCTCAAACCTCATTGAGTAACCTGCCACCTGTATAAGAGTTCAGAAGGCTTTTCCAGCCTATACGGTATGGCATAGTTGGCCAGGTGTATTAGGAAACATCAGGTATGAACGAAGGGTACTGCCAAGACTGTAGTTGAGAGGGAGCATTTATCTGGTCTAGCAGAACAATTCAAATATGTCATTTCAATCTCATTGCTAATCATAGGGCAGGGTTTAGATATGCCATTTATTAAATATGCCAATGAGAAGTTCTGCTTGACCTAATGTACACTTTCTTCATGCGGTGCATGGATACATATATTCTGAGCAGCATGGATGTTTGACAGGCAAAAAGAAATTGGAAAGCCGCTCTGGCAGGCCTTTGAAGGATCAGGGAGGATAAGTTAAAAGAAGTCAGGCGCTACTATCTTTGCTGTAAACAAAGAGCTCCCAGTTCATAAACCCTGGTGTCTGAT